TTTCTCTGTTTAACTATGCATTTAAAAAAAATTAGTTATAAGTAAAATACCTCGTAAAATACTATTATTCGCGCTCATAAACAGCCACTAGAATAATAATTACAAACTGTTACAAGGTTGCCAAATATCAGTTATTGTTATTATTCGCGCTCATAAGCAGCCAATAGAATAATTAAAAATGATTAAAAGGTGGCCAAATATTATCAGTTAAAAATAAAATATGACACTATTGAGTTTTGTTTTTCCTTCGGCAATAAAATATTGCATATTACTTGCATAAAACTCCATCTAACATTAGCTCGAGGAAAATGAGTTGATTCTACTTTCGAAAACGCAGGATTAATTTTTAACCGAAAAAATTTAAACGCCAGGGAAATAGAAATATAACGTAAACATACACCGTGTGTCGAACGTCGATCATATTGGATTTTTTGGGTAATTGCATAATAATAATCTCCATAATTCTCCCACTCACGAGTGAATTTTAACCCCTGAACCGGGTGAGCTTGTGTGTGGTAAGGACGGTTATTAATATTATTGGCTCAACTTTGGTTTAGCCGAAATCTGTTATGCAAAAACTCTTGTCATAATAACAATTGTGATGGCTATGAGTAAACAAAAACCGTAATCTCATGGTGAGGAAATGCGTAGTTGCCAAGTTGTAGATGATTAGGGTTTTTGTTTAATTTCATTTAGCTGAAATCAGTTATGCAAAAAATGTTGCCATGGGCACGCTTGTCATGTTACCGACTAAACAAAAACTCAAATCGCATGGTGGGGAAATGCGTAGTTGCCAAGTTATAGATCATTTAATGTTCACTTTAGTTTAGCCGAAATCAGTTAGGAAAAACTGTTTTCATGGAAACGCTTGTCATGCTAACGGCTAAACAAAAATCCAATTCCGGCAGTGAAGAAATGCGTAGTTGCCAAGTTATAGATTATTTATTGTTCACTTTAGTTTAGCCGAAATCAGTTATGAAGAAACTGTTGCCATGGAAACGCTTGTTATACTAACGACTAATTGAAAACCCAAATGTCGTGGTGAGGAAATTCGTAGTTGCCAAGTAGTGGTTACTAGGTGAGTGGAACGAGCGTAGCGTGATTTTATGATGTAGGTGGAAAAAGAGCGCGCCCGGCCGACGTTTCGAAAACGGCGCGCGCGAATTTCGAAACGTCGCCGGGCGCGCTGGCTTTCACTCGCTTTCCTCTGTTGTAGTAGTAGTTAGAAGGTGCGTGGGAGAAGCGTAGCGAGATCTTACGATGTAGGTGGAAAAAAGGCGCGCCTGGCCGACGTTTCGAAAACCGCGCGCGCGAATTTCGAAACGTCGGCCGGGCGTGCTCGTTTCACTCGCTCTCCTCTGTACTGGTTAGGAGGTGGGTGGGAGGAGCGTAGCGTGATCTTATAATTTAGGTGGAAAAAAGGCACGTCGGCTAGACGCGCTAGCTTCACTCGCTCTCCTCTGTAGTAGTTAGGTTGTGGGTGGGAGGAGCGTTATCTTATGGAGAAACTGTTTCCATGTAAACGCTTGTCATGCTAACGACCAAACAAATCCCGTAGTGAGAAAATGCCTAGTTGCCAAGTTATAGATGGTTTCATTATCACTTTAGTTTAGATTAGGATATTGTGTTGAGAGTTAATCTAAATATAAGAGGCAACTAGGCATTTCCTCACCACTGGATTAAGGTTTTTGTTTAGTCGACATCACGACAAGTGTTCCTATGGCAATTGGTTTCTCCGAAAAAAAATGAATAAATAAATAAAAAACCGTGGTGTTCTGCTGACTTTGTTCCAGCAAAATACACTGGATTTTTAAAATAATAAACAATTTTTTGTCGAAAAGTTTTATATTTGTAAAGCCTAAACATAGCCTAAAAATATAGTATGGTTGCTAAAAAAAAAAAAAATTAAAAACCGAGGTTTTCTGTTGGCTTCGTTCAAAGTATAAAAGTAGCCTAAAAATATTGCATAGGTTTCAACTCAAAATTCTGTAGGTGCTCTGCTGCCTTCATTGGTATAATGGTCTGCTCTAGGATTCGAAGCCGTGTTCGCTAGACAACTGAAAGGGTCAAACATACTGCGCTATCGAATCGATTTTTTACATAAAACAGATTCAATCAACAACACAAAATACTTATGAGGCAGAAGTTTGCAGACAAACTGAGGCTGAAGCTAGCAGACAAACCGCGCGGCGCCCCGTTGGCCAGATTCGCCTCAAAATATTGAAAAAAATACTGATTGGTTATTTAGAGGGAAAAAATACTAATACGGTGTTTATTTAGAAAACACAATTTGTCAATGCTGTTTTTGTATTTATATACAGGGTGAATTAAAAAATATAGGTTCTTCTTAAAAGTGGCCATATTTTCTAGTTGTGAATCCATTTCTCCTTCTATTTTGTTTTATCTTGCTACTTACTCAAAAAAAAAAAAAAAAATAACCTAAAAGATTGCACATAACAAAACTCCCAAATGAGGCAAAATTATTATTTTTTTTTTTTTTTTCATAAATTAATGCAATAAGGAAATCTGTCAAATTGGCATTACTAAAGAAATTAACTAGGCAAAATGTGACAATTTTTATTTAAAAATGAGTTAAAGTAACAACATGGAATATGGAATTTGCAAATTATTCGTTCTAATTTTGTGCACATCTTAAATGTTTCATGTAAACAAAGCCAATTTGATACGAATGTTGTATTATACTGGGAACTAAATAAATGTATTATTCACGTTTAATTTTTACTAATTTTTTATTTGCGTACACGTTAGCGTGTACCTAGCCACAGCGATTAAAATTTGGTATGTGCCCTAGCACGACGCGTATCGGCAAAAATATTTAATAGCAAAAAGACGGAAAAGCGAGGGTAAAAGGTTCAAGGAAATTAAATATATGTACCCCAAACTGGAGCTCTGCTAATCTCTTAAAATAATGCTATCAAAAAGTGGATAAAGTGTTTGATATAAAAAATATTCAAAACCCATCAGCTCAAATTTAATTATAATTTTTAAACTTAAATCTAACTTAATAAAAGCCTTATGTTTAAAAGGTTTAAACTTACCTTCAAATAGTTCCGCCATGTTTAATGTCAAATACAAAATTGAAACTTAAGTTTTTTGTAGTTAAACTTTCACAAACTTTCTATTAACTTTTGACAAGTACACAGAAATCCGTAGTGTGTTTGACGTTTGCTACATCACTACGGGTAACCATGGAAGCTGAAAGAACAAATGTTGATTTTAGATACTTCAAAGCCTGCTTGATCAGAGTCGAGTAACGATAGTGTTAAGTTTGGAAAAAAAATATTTTGAGGTGAATCTGGCCCACAGTGCGGCGGTCCCTTAATGTTTTGATATTGTTATTTGGCAATATCTTTGGTTTAGGTGGACTTTAGTATCATGAAAGTTAAGAAATAAACAAAAATTAATGTATTTATTGAAAAAAACGGATTAATTCAATTTGAATTATTAGTTAAAATAAGATAATCTTACACAAAGATGGGGACGAAACAAACACATTTACAATGCGATTATAAATATAATTTTTATACCAAATATCCATTGGGTTTTTGTTAATTGATTAAACAAAAAATTATTACCGAGAAATAATTTAAAATATATTTACCACGAGATTACAAATACAATTTTTATACCAATAATTTAGTACACCACTAGCTATAAAATAAATAAAAAATCATTAAAAAATAAGATATCCAAATATAGGTTTTAGATCTTTAAAGTCAAGCGTTTCCGCGGATAAATATTACTCAATAAAACCAACAAAAACAAATATTTAACACGAGATTCCAAATACAATTTTTATACCAAAGATTCAATAAATAAGTAGCAATTAAAAAAATAAATAATCAAATAGCAAGACCTCTAATTACATTTCTTAGGTCTTTAAAAATGCGCGGTTTCGCAGAAAAACATTATTCTACCAAAATATCAAAAACCAATATTTGTCACGAAATTCCAGATATAATTTTTAATACGAATAATTCAATACATTAGTATCATTCGAAAACGCAATAAATCATTACATAGCAAGACCTCTACATATGTTTTTTAGGTTTTTAAAAATGCGGGATTCCTCGGTTAAACCTTACTGTATCAAAATGACAAAAACCAATATTTAGCACGAAAATCCAGGCATAATTTTTGTATGAATGATTATTATAATTCAAAAGAATAATAAATCATTTCATAGCAAGACCTCCAAATACGTTTTTTAGGTCGTTAAAAATACACGATTCCGCGAATAAACCTTACTTTATCAAAATGAAAAAAAACCTATATTTAGCACAAAAATCCAGGCATACTTTTTAGTATGAATGATTCAAAATAATAATATAATTCAAAAAATAATAAATCATTACATAGCAAGACCTCCAAATACGTTTTTTAAGTCTTTAAAAATACGCGATTCCGCGGATATACCTTCGGTTATCAAAATGACAAAAACCAATATTTAGCACGAAAATTCAGGAATAATTTTTAAGATAAATGATTTAGTGCCTTAGTATCATTTAGCAACACAATAAATCATTATATAGCAAGACCTCCAAATACGTTTTATAGGTCATTAAAATTGCGCGATTCCGCGGTTAACCTTACTTTATCAAAATGATAAAAATCCAATATTTAGCACGAAAATCTATGTAATCCTATGTAATGATTTATTGTGTTGTTGAATAATACTAAGGTACTGAATCATTTGTCCTAAAAATTACACCTAAATTTTCATGCTAAATATTGTTTTTTTCATTTAGATAACGTAAGATATACCCGCGGAATCGCGCATTTTTAAAGACCTAAAAAACGTATTTGGAGGTCTTGCTATGTAATGATTTATTATTCTTTCACCAATTTTTGCCTGTGACCTTCCAGGATTTTTACACTGTTGCCAGAGACATTAAACTTTCGTCCTGGCAGAGAATTTTGTACAAATCTGAACATATGCCCTTATTAGGAGAGTTTGAATTGTATTTATTTGTTTTTAGCAAAAATCGGTCTTTTCTACTTTATCTTCTATGGAATGCTGGCAGCTTTGGTGGCGGTATGCATGTGGGTGTTCTTCCAAACGCTGGATCCTAGAATACCGAAATGGCAGCTAGACAGATCTCTTATAGGCACGAATCCGGGTTTGGGCTTCCGTCCAATGCCAGAGAACAACGAAGAGAGCACGCTCATCTGGTTCCAAGGGTCCAACAAGACGAGCTACACCTATTGGGTCGACAACATTTTATCATTTTTGGACAGTAAGTGAATAAAAAACCGTATACGTCTTGACTACTTAACACATTCAGCCATACTCAAGCTGCGGCCCTCCAAGCTTTTTTGCGGCCCGAAACACTAACAAGAAGGTGCCTTTTAAAACTATAACTTTCTGTTTTTAAAATCTTAAGCGAAATGCGCGAAAACATTTTTCAGTCACTGCGCTAAATATCACGCTTATTTTTAAATAAACGTATGGAATTCGTGAGGATACTGTAAAAATAAGATAAGTCCACTGTTGACATTTTAGAGTTAATACACTTTCGTCTCCAAATTGGTTCAAATAATATACGGCATAAACAAGACAAGTGAAACGAAGTCCATATTATATATGATAAACAGATGGCCAATAAAAACTAACACTAAATTAATACATTCAGAATACGCACAAACAAGATAAGTTATTTATATTTATATATTTATACCGAAACATAATCATAACATTGTGTTCAATTGCTAATAGTTTGTCCACATAAGATACATATAACTTATTTTTCTAAATGTATTTAATCTTATTCCTGATAACAAGATAAAGGCCAGAATACCTATTTTTCTGAATGTGTTTGTTGAAATACTTTAACATTTTGCTCGAGCCATTTATCTTGTTTTGCTTAGAGCCGTCTCTGGCCTTTCACGATTTTTCCGAAATCTACAAGGTGATTACGTCACCCTTTTTTTTTCACGATACACCTAACCTTCAAAAACCAATAGAGGGATGCCTGAAAGGGTGAAAAAAAGCTCTGAAAATACAAAACGTGCAAGAAGATTAAAACTAAATTAGGTGCTACACCTGATGAATTTCACCGTTATTGTCATAATCTACCTGAATCCAATCTTGAATTATTGCCAAGAGATTTAAATTTCTACTTTGATAATTATTTAAAACGACAGTTTACAACGTGAATTAATATTATTTTTAATGAACAATAACATCTTAAAATGCCAGCAGTGTCATTCGCTGTCAAAAGTTCGTAGTTTCTAATTGGGCGGATGATCTAAAACGATCTGGCAACTCTGTATTTATTTTCACCATCTACTTCCTTCTTCCTTAGTTTTCACGTTATTTCAAGAATACCAATTTTTTTGGAAAGTGAATAAATTCCCTGGGCAGTTTCACTTTTTTTCGTTTTCAAGCATATGCACCCTGAACACATTTAATTATATGAAACACATTTGGGAAGGCGCGACAGACGACAGCACTTTTAATACGGCAATATTTGCTGCCTTGCTGCTGTCGTCTGCCTCCGTCTCACGATCCCAAATGGTAGCTTTATCATCGTAGTGACCCAAGGAGATAAATTTTAGAAACTATTATTAACAATAACTTTTAATGCAACATTTTCTACGACTGTTTCAGCGGAAAATCGATTTAAAAAATTTAAATGCCTAAGATGATTTCAGAAATTTGGTTTAAAGCTTCTTTTATAAATAAAAAAAAAATATCTAAATTTAACAAATATTTTCCAGAATACTACGTTCCTAGCAAAATAGCCAAGGGTAACGGTCAAATCAAAACTTGCTCTCACCACGATTACCCTAATATCGGCGAGGTGTGCGAAGTGGAAGTCAGACATTGGGAGGACTGCAACAGAGACCAATTCTTCAACTACCACAAGAATTCGCCCTGTATATTCTTGAAATTGAACAAAATCTACGGTTGGACGCCGGAGTACTACGACGATCCGTTCGACTTACCTCAAGAAATGCCCGAAAGCCTAAAAGAACGTATCAGGAAAATCAATAATACGAGAGAGGTGAGAATATTTCTCTCATATTTTACAGAACACCTCGAAAATCCCTTCCGAGACCTTTAACTGTTTCCATGTATAAATACGTTGTTTGTTTTAGAGGCAAAATGTTTGGTTGTCGTGCGAAGGTGAAAATCCCGCTGATGTGGAATATTTGGGACCTGTGACTTATTATCCCAAAGATGTGCAGGGTTTTCCGGGTTACTATTTCCCGTATTTGAATTCTGAAGGCTACCTCAGTCCTTTGATGGCTGTCAAATTCGAGAGACCTGTTTGTAAGTATACAATTTATATTCATAAATTTTTTTTATTTTATTTTATTATTTTGAATAATTGTCATTTTTGATCTGTTTTTAAAACGATTTTAAAAATGTTTATCCTATTTTTTCATAATTTTTTCAAGTCACATTTCAAATTTACCAATTTTGAATTTGATTTTTGCTCAATAATTTTTTTTACTTCCCTCTGAGAGGGAAGTATTGTAATCGTGAAAAAGTCAGAGAATTCGGGTGGGATCTAGAGGAAAATCGATGGAGAGAGAAATATGAATGGTGGTTTTAATTTTAATTTATTAATATACATATAACTTACTTGCTTTTACAATTTCTATATCGTAGGAAGTTCTGGGAAACATACTTTACCGATTTTTTAATCTAATTTTTTGTTTTTATTTTTTTTTTATCTTTTGAATCGTTTTTAATACTTTTCTGGCTAAATATCATTTTGACAGGTTCGGATATTTGGAGCGTATTTTACCGGATTTTAACTTTTTTCGTATTTATCCCAAGGGTTTTTGACACAATTTTAAAAAGCTTTTGAATTAAATTTTTCAATTTTTTTTGTAACATCATTTTTTTTGACTTTTTTCCAAATCCATATCGTATTTCCACATTTCGAGCTTGATTTTACAATTTTTTCTGCATATTTAATTTTTAAAATTGCCCATTTTTGTAATATTTGTTTTTTAAACCTTTTAAAACATTCCATTGTAATTTAACTAACTTATTTACACTTTATAAGGCATTTTGAGTTATTTTATAAGTTGTTTTGACAAGCTCACGGTTTTTTCGACTTGTAATTTTGAACGGTTTGCGTTTTTACTTCCCTCTCTAAAAGGGAAGTATTGTAATCGTGAAATAGTCACCCGAGATTATTTCAGTTTTAGGGTCCCTAGATTATGAAAAACATGTTTCCCCATTCCGTCTGTCTCTGTCCGTCTCTGTCTGTCTCTGTCTGTCTATGTCTGTCTGTCTGTCTCTCTTAGTCTTTGTTTGTCTGTCTGTATGTATGTATGTCTGTCTGTATGGCTGTCTGTGTGTCTGTATGTATGTATGTCTGTCTGTATGTATGTCTCTCTGTCTGTCTGTATGTATTGATATAGAAAATAAAGGATCACCCTGTATATATATAGTTGAATAAATAAACTATATTGATGAATATCTTACTTAAAAATATTGTACTTATCATGTTGTAAAATAAGAATTATATTGATATATTCATAATTGAAATAAGAAATTCATTTAATTGATTGAATTTGGAAAGTATATTTGCCCAAATAACCTAATAGGAAACTAATATTGATCAGTGTATTGAAAATATTTAAATTAAGAATTTTAATAAAGATTCTAAATAAAGCGAGTAATCAATTTGTATAAGAAATCAATTTAGACTTTCACAATACACTCTGTATATATTTTATAATTAACACTTACCTTATTAAGATTGAAAGAAATGAAACAATTTAATCCTCAATCCCAATTGATTTATTTTTAAAGAAAAACAACGAAAAATAACAATTTCATAGTAATACGATGGCATCTCATAATCCACTAAATTTCTTTAAAATACAATTTTCTTGAAAAGCTCAACATCTTGGATTAGTTTTCATTCAAACGTAGAACCTGAAATTGGAAAAATATATTAATATGGTTATTAAGTTTGTAACACTCTGTAAACAACATTTCTAAAATGCAAAGCAGGTGAACGAACATTTATTTTGACATATTTAAACTAACTAGAAATTAGAAATGCCAACATGACTCAGAACTAAGAATTGTAATTTAGAAAAGGAAAATCTATAACAAAATTATATTTGGAAATTTCTTAACTGAATGACAGAATGTATAATTAAAGTTTAATAATAATATTCCTTTGAAATTATTTAAAGAAATATTCAGAATTTTCATGGAAATTAGAAGGAATCCATTTCATTGGTCATTGTAAAACCAAGGATTGGATTTATTAATTGATACTAAAGCTTTGTTAAAAAAATAACAAAAAGTGGTAGATCCTTAGTAACGAAATATTGAAAAGACTGATAGGAGACAGTTACGGATTTTTAACAAAAAATTGGTTCAAATTATTAAGAAATTTGCATATAGTATTTTTAAAAGTGTGTACAAACCTAGTAATATGTTTTTTGGACAAAAACATAACATTTAGATGCCTCCAGAATTTGGAAGACTGGTGAAATTAAGTTTTCCGAAATCCTACATTGTTTGTATGGTAAGAATTTGGTTGTTTCCCAGCAACGATCTCAATTTGACGAACACCCATTGAAGGTGGAACTTTATACATATTCTTGTGTAAGGAATTTCGCCGACCGACGACCTAAAAACAATATTTGGATTGGTTTTCGATATTTACGGTTTACGGACAGTAAAGGTATTCCTATAAACTCATTTACAATAAAATATATTTACCTGTGTTTCAATTTTGTATCTAGTTAAGTATATATTTTTTTAATCTACTGATTCTAACCCTACATTTCGTTTGGTCAATGACAAGATCTAATATTATGAATCTACAAACAAAATGTACTAGTTTAGACTTGGTAAAAAAATATTTTCATAGTTTTTCCTCATTAGAATACATGTTTTGAATGAATGAAATCTTCACTAATATTAGATTAATCATTTTGTAATGATTGTTTTTGATACTGAATTTGACATGTTTTATAATAAAACTATTACGTTTTCCCATTGAAAATTTTGAATATTTATTTCACTTTAATTTCTATAAGGTGGTAACACGAACAAAACTGGCGAACGTTGACCCAAGATTTGTGCAGGTCTGTCTTAAACAAATTTATAATATTTGGTATTTGAAAATTAAAAAATTTAGAAATTAAAATAAAGAAATTTAGTTTTGAAGCTTATTATAAAGAATTTGGCGTCATCATTTATAATATTAAACAACCTTAATTGCGGACCACGAACCCTGAAATAAAGAGTCAATAGTAATTTTATAACATTAAAAATAAATAATTTGATTAAAGGGCAAGTAAAGATCTTAAAATTGAATTAAATAACAAAATAAATTATTTCAGATTTTTTTTGATAAAACAAATATACAGGGTGCACCAATATTTAGTTGAATTTAACAAAAACAGAAATATTCTCATTAAATCAGCAACCGGGAATTTATTTATAATTAATGTTACTTTTGTGAACATATAGGGTGAATAAAAATAAAATAAAAATATAACAATTATTGTTATAATTTAAACACATACAAATTATAACATACAAATACAAATCATAACAGTATGTATGTATGTATGTATGTCTGTCTGTAGTCTGTCTGCAGCCACTCAGTATTGTTCAATAACGGTGATCGTGGCGAAGAATACCGAGTGGACGCGAAGTGAGAATTCGGGTGGGATCAAGAGGAGATCGATGGAGAATGAAATGTGAAAAAAGGTTGTTGATTTGGTGGATTTAATTTTAAATTATTAAAATTAAAGTGCTTAGGAGTTCTCTGTTTTTACAATTTCTATATCTAGGAAAGTTTTTATCGTATTTTAACGCAACTTTCAAGGCTTTTTAACTAATTGTCATTTTGACACATTTTCTACTTTTACATTTTTTTTTATAAAATAATTTGTTTGAAATTTTTACAAGTCAAATTTTAAGTTTTTTAACCTTTTAAATCGTTTTAATACGTTTTAGTAATATAAAACGATTATTCTATATATATATTTTTTAGCGCAATGTCATTTTGACAGATCCGGATTTTAGGCTTGCATTTTTACCAGATTTGAACTTTTTCCATTTATCCAAGCCTTTTGATAACATTTTAAGTCTTTTGAACTAATATTCATTTCGACAAGTTTTCTAACCTTCTCATTGTTTTGATTTTTCACATGTCAATTTTACACCTTTTGAGCTTAATATTACATTTTTAATTTTTGTGCATATTTTCTTTATTTTCCCATTTTTGTATTTATTGTTTTTTAAAAATTTCAGCGTATTTTACTAACTAAAAATTATTTTTTTTTCTTGAATAGCTTTATTAGGCATAGTTATTTTGACAGTTTCGCTTTTTTGGCGACTGTTGTAATTTTATTTTGACAGTTTCCCTTTTTTTTTGGCGACTGTTGTAATTTTATTTTTTGGCAGCTTTTTTGGCCTTCTTGTATTTTAATTTTATATATATATGTTCGTTGTTTTGCGACTGTTTTAATTTCAGTTTGACAAGTTAGCTATTTTTGGTCTTCTTGTAATTTTATTTTTATATTTTCTCGTTTTTGCGTTTGTTGTAATTTTGTTTTTTTATGGTCGCGTTTTCTGGCGTTTCTTGTAATTTTATTTTGACAGGTTCGTGTTTTTTGGCGACTGTTGTAATTTTATTATAACAAGATTCGCGTTTCTGGCTATTGTTACAATGTTATTTTGAAGGGTTCGCACATTTTTTGGCGATTTCCGTAATTTTATTTTGACAGGTTTTTTTTTTATTTTTTTGCATATTTAATTTGTTTTCAATTGTCCCATTTTTGTATTCATTATTTTTTAAATTTAATAAAATATTTCAACGTATTTTTCATAACTGAAAGCAATTTTTTGTTGCATAAGACTTTCGAGTTATTTTGACAGTTTCGCGTTGTAATTTTATTATGACACGATTCACGTTTTTGGCGACTGTTATAAATTTTTTGGATCGGTTTTTGGCGACTTGAAATTTTGAGAGGTTTTCGTTTTTTAGCGACTGTTGTAATTTTATTTTGTGAGGTTCTCGTTTTTTGGCAATTCTTGTAATTTTATTTTTAGAGGTTATTTTTTTTGTGTTTATTTATTTTATTTTTTTTTTCATTTTGCCATTTTTGTATTTATTGTTTTTTAAACCTTTAAAACATTTCAACTTATTTTTACTAACTAAAGAACTTTAGCTGCGTTCAATGACACCTAGCGATCCCAACTGATACCAATCACTTTTGTTCTACGATAGATATCACTTCGTATCGATCGGTATCATTTTGGAGCGTTTAATTTTTACGCTCCTTTCTGCTGCGATCTCGAAATTTGAACGGGAAAGCTCATAAAAACAACCTAAAACCTATCGCTATGTGCGATTGCTTGAAAAATATATCTTTAACAAAGTGGTTGTGCTTTATATAATGATAAAAATAAAAAACACTTAAATATAAAGAATATTGTAGATCGTTGATCAAAACTCAAAGTGACAATAAACAAGTTCACTTTCAATTAAACTAGAATAGTCAATGAACACAAATTTAATTTTTGCACATTGATACAATCATTGAACGCAGCTTTTATAAGGAACTAGCTACTGCCCGCGGTTTTGCTCGCATATAGTCGTGTTATTAATATACAAAAATACATGACTTCCTTTTTTATTAATTTTTATTAGTTTTATTGATTTTCATTCATTTTTTATATTTATTCATTTTTATTCATTTGTATTCATTTTTATTAATTTTTATTCATTTTTATTCATTTTTATTCAGTTTTATTCAATTTTTATTAATTTTTATTCATTTTTATTCATTTTTATTCATTTTTATTCATTTTTATTCATTTTTATTCATTTTTATTCATTTTTATTCATTTTTATTCATTTTTATTCATTTTTATTCATTTTTATTCATGTTTATTCATTTTTATTTTTATTCATTTTTAAAAAATTTAAAATATTTTTATTCATTTTTATTATTGTTTATTAATTTATGTTAATTTTTTAGTAATTTTTGTTAATTTTTATTAATTTTTATTAATTTTTAAAAATTTTAATTAATTTTTATTAATTTTTAATAATTTTAATAATTTTTAATAATTTTTAATAATTTTTAATAATTTTTAATAATTTTTATTAATTTTCATTATTTTTCATTATTTTTTATTAATTTTTAATAATTTTTTTATTAATTTTTATTAATTTTTATTAATTTGTATTAATTTTTATTCATTTTTATTAATTTTTATTCATTTGTATTCATTTTTATTCATTTTTATTCATTTTTATTCATTTTTATTCATTTTTATTCATTTTTATTCATGTTTATTCATTTTTTATTTATTTTTATTCATTTTTAAAAAATTTAAAATATTTTATTAATTTTTATTAATTTTTAATAATTTTTATTAATTTTTATTACTTTTTATTATTTTTATTATTGTTTATTAATTTTTATTAATTTTTATTAATTTTTATTAATTTGTATTAATTTTTATTCATTTGTATTAATTTTTATTCATTTGTATTCATTTTTATTCATTTTTATTCATTTTTATTCATTTTTATTCATTTTTATTCATGTTTATTCATTTTTATTTATTTTTATTCATTTTAAAAAATTTAAAATATTTTTATTAATTTTATTATTGTTTATTAATTTATGTTAATTTTTTAGTAATTTTTGTTAATTTTTATTAATTTTTATTAATTTTTAAAAATTTTAATTAATTTTTATTAATTTTTAATAATTTTTAATAATTTTTAATAATTTTTAATAATTTTTAATAATTTTTAATAATTTTTAATAATTTTTAATAATTTTTATTAATTTTCATTATTTTTCATTATTTTTTATTAATTTTTAATAATTTTTTATAATTTTTATTAATTTTTATTAATTTGTATTAATTTTTATTCATTTTTATTAATTTTTATTCATTTGTATTCATTTTTATTCATTTTTATTCATTTTTATTCATTTTTATTCATTTTTATTCATGTTTATTCATTTTTATTATTTTTATTCATTTTTAAAAAATTTAAAATATTTTTATTAATTTTTAATAATTTTTATTAATTTTTATTAATTTTTATTACTTTTTATTAATTTTTATTATTGTTTATTAATTTTTATTAATTTTTATTAATTTGTATTAATTTTTATTCATTTGTATTAATTTTTATTCATTTGTATTCATTTTTATTCATTTTTATTCATTTTTATTCATTTTTATTCATTTTTATTCATTTTTATTCATGTTTATTCATTTTTATTTATTTTTATTCATTTTTAAAAAATTTAAAATATTTTTATTAATTTTTTATTACTTTTTATTAATTTTTATTATTGTTTATTAATTTTTGTTAATTTTTTAGTAATTCTTGTTAATTTTTATTAATTTTTTAAAATTTTAATTAATTTTGATTATTTTTGATTTATTTTGATTAATTTTAATTAATTTTGAATAATTTTTAATAATTTTTATTAATTTTTATTAATTTTCAATATTTTTTATTAATTTTTAATAATTTTTATTAATTTTTATTAATTTTTATTAATTTTTATTATTTTTATTAATTTTTATTAATTTTTATTAATTTTTATTAATTTTTATTAATTTTTATTAATTTTTATTAATTTTTATTAATTTTTATTAATTTTTATTAATTTTTATTAATTTTTATTAATTTTTAATAATTTTTATTAATAATTTTTATTAATTTTTACCCCTGTTTTCCCCCCTTAAAATGTGAAAATCCAAAAACCATGAAACACTTCATTATTTATTTATTTATTTATGATGAGAACCTACAATTCCAATTTTCAAGTTCGTACCTAAAAAATGGATATTTCCAAATAAACGTTCACCCCCTCGTTCCCCCCTTAATATGTGGAAATCCAAAAACCCTAAAATACGTCATTAATAAATTTATACTCATTAGCTGCATTCCAATTTTCATGTTTCTAACTTCAAAGAGAACAAAAAAAAGTTATACTCCTATACAAACTTTTGCCCCCGTTTGTCCCCTCAAGATGTAAAAATATAAAAACCCTAAAACACATTATTATTAATTTGTACTCAGTAGCTGCAATTCCAATTTTCATGTTATTAACATTAAAGAGAACCAAAAAATGGATACTTCCAAATAAATTTTCACCCCCCCCCCCGTTTCCCTCCTTAAAATGTGAAAATCCAAAAACCCTGAAACACGTTATTAATAATTTGTAGTCAGCAGCTGCAATTCCAATTTTCATGTTTCTAACTTCATAGACAACAAAAAAAATCGATAGTCCCTTACAAACTTTCACCCCCCGTTTCCCTCCCTTAAAATGTAAAAATCCAAAAACCCTGAAACACGTCATTATTTATTTATGCTTAGTAGCTGTAATTTAAATTTTTATGTTTCTACCTTTAAAGAACAAAGAGTTTCATTAAAAGCTCCCTCCCCCCCCCCATTTCCCCCCTTTAAAGTTAAAATTTTGAAAAATCCTTTCTTAGCGGATGCTTACGTTATAAAATAAACCTATGTTTCAAATTTCAGCTTTCTAGGCTCAGTAGTTTTGGCTGTACGCCTATAGGTCAGTCAGGACAAACAATTTTATATATATATATAGATAGATTTTTGGCGACTATTGTAATTTTATTTTGAGAGGTTGTCGTTTTTTAGTGACTGTTATAATTTTATTTTGAGAATTTCTCATTTTTTGGCGATTCTCGTAATTTTATTTTTATATTTTCTCGTTTTTTGCGACTATTGCAATTTTATATTCATATGCGGTTTTTTGGCGGACGTGGAAAAGTTTATTTTCATATGTTCGTGTTTTTTGACAATTCTTGTAATTTTATTCAGACAAGTTCGCTTTTTGCCTCCGTTCATCTTCCGTTGTAATTTTATTTTGACATGTCGTGTTTTTTGACCATTCTTTTAATTTGATTTTTACAGGCTCCCGTTTTTTAGCTATTGTGGTTATTTTTAACCGACTCAAAAAAAGGAGGAGGTTCTCAATTCGTCGGAATATTTTTTATGTATGTTTAACGATAATTCTTTACCACGTTGTCCGATTTCTATGATTCGTTTTTTGTTAGAAAGGCACAAATTTGGGAATATGGGAAACATGAAAAAATGATCAAACTCATTTTTTTGACTCGGTTTTTAAACATTACTTTTATATGTAATTTTATTTTGACAGGTTTGCTCTTTTTGTTGATTGCTTTAATTTTATTTTGATACCTTCGCGATTGTTGTTAATTTTTATATATTTTTTTTTCAGCTGGAATTGTTATAAACGTCGAATGCAGAGCTTGGGCCAGAAATATAATCTACAATCGTGTAGAAAGGATGGGATCCGTCCATTTTGAATTGCTAATTGACTAAATATACAAAAAAAAACACGGCCCATTATTTATACATTCCAAAAACCATATCACAGAAACTTTATAGACTTTGTGAATATTAAATAATACGAAACAATCAAATCAATGATATTATCTGCCTTAATATATAATAATAATGGCCTTCTAAAATTGCCTTTTATACTGTAAAATAAAGAATCTTTAATAAACATTCTTTTTATATAATAAAAAATCTGAAAAATCATAGTTTGTTTATTTTTTACGTCTTTTTTTCTTCTTTTCTTTATCTTTTTCTTCTTTTTTTGTATTTTTTTTTTCGTCTTTTCCTTTTCACAAGTCAAAAAGTGTATCTATTGCACAACAGATGGCAGGTTTTGTTCTTGAAATGCCAAGCTGTCAACATTTATAACGCTACAATAAGAACTTTGAGAAATCAAAATTAAAGGAAGAAAAATAAGTTTAATGATTTTCAATAAAACCTCTTTTTTGTCACTTTGACAAATTCTTTACTATTTAATATAACAGCCATATATTTTTAATCAGGCACACGTTATTTTGACAGTTTTTTTATTTTTTTTTTTAAGGTTTTCAGATAAATAAAATGTTGACAGTTTAATTTTTTTACGTTTTAATCATTATAAACTCATCATTTGGCATTGCCTCTCTCATTATTATCCATCTATTTTTATGGCGAAAAAAATCAAGATGGGCTATTTGACAAAAACAGGAAAAAATAAAGCAAATTATGATTTTTTCGATATCTCATACCAAATATTTTTATACATTTTTTGTAGAAATAGATATTTTTGAAATTTTAATCGAGAAAACTATTCCAGATCTTTTGGCAGTTTTTTTAATTTTATTATTTTTATTTTTAATTCTATTGTGTTCTTTGTAGTTTTTAAAACGATTTGTATATATTTTTGTAGCCATATAGATTTTTGTTTTTGTTGATAATCTGTCTAAAAAAATAAAAGCAGCTGATTTTGTAATAATAAATTATTACGCAATACTAATTGTTTTATTTAAAAATATTACACTTGGAAGATGTCAAAAAAATATCCATAATATATGTTTTTTTTTCTATTTTAAATGATTTGCTTATCGGAATTTTCTATATACAGAGTAGCCAATTATTTTCGCTCGGAGCATAGCTAAACTATTATAGAAGATTTAGAAAAAGTTATATTTCAATATTATACAGCTTTAAGATTTAGATTTAATTAGGACTGGGCCATGTCTAATTCTGTCTTCTGTAGTAGATTCCATAGACTAGGAAGTAGTTCTCCGGCTTAGTTGCCCTTGGTTTTTCTTCTCCAATTGTAAGAAATCTCAGTCTTGATAGACCTTCGCAGTAGCACAATATTTCTGCAGTTTCCTCTTCTTCCTGACACTCGTCACAAGCTCGCTTCTATCAGACCGATATACATATGTTTGTTAAGCCTATAATGCCCTGTTAATAGACCTACTAGTACTCTAATAATTTTCCTTATTATGGCTTACCAAATACTCGGTGAATTTAGGCGATAGTCCTTTTAAGAACTCTTTGGCCTGTCTCTGTCCCGGTGAATTTTTCCACCATTGCTGATTTTTTTTAAACATCGCTGCTTTGTGCATGTTCTGATAGATACAGCTCCAAAGAAGCTACATTAAAAATATGTTTGGCCCCTTACCTCTTAAAACTGCAAACATAAAATATTTGGTCCCTTTATTTCTCAAAATGATTTAGTCCTTTTAATTCTTAAAATTATTTGGTCCCTTAGAATTCCCATGTAAAAATATTTGAGCCATTTACCCTTTAAGCCAGTGACGCTTACCCATGTACAAATATTTGGACCCTTAACCCTTTAAGTACAAACGTCGCATATAAGCGACCCAAGAACCTTGGGAAAGACTTAGGTACAAACTGAACACGTACTTTACAATGAGCAAGTGAATTAGCCGTGCAGCGAATTTGCCACTTTTTGCAGTCAAGTCTTTATGAAATATATAATATGCACTCGAAGCATCTAATCCAGGCGTGCAGTGTTGAAAGTATTTATATAAACTTTCATTTGGTTTCAAAGTACTTAGCTTTTTAACATCATTCATTATTTTTGCCGTAGCTCCACAGATCTCACATGACTGTGACGATGATTGTGAAATTACACTGAATGTCTTACCGCCAATCATTGTCAAACAGAATTTGTGGTTGAAGTTCATATTAAACTCCTCTACCCAGGCAGCATACCAAATTCTTTGGATATCTACTGGACATCGCAATAACCACTGAATGTCCAGTCCATGGTGGATATCTATTTTATATCCATGAGATTTAATTTATAGACATGCAAATGTCCATAAATAATAGTAATTATATAGCAAATTATTAAAAAATTACGCCATTGTGGCTAAAAGTACCGTTCAGATATTTAAAATTAATTTTTTTAAGGTGTATTCAATATCCCATGGACATCCACTAAATATATCAAAGTCTAGGCGCGAACGCAAACCATGGTGGATATCCACTAGATGTAATTTTTGATTTTGCTTACTAAGTATAGATGGCGATACCACTTTCTCTCGTGCTCATGCTCAACCCGTCGTAATTGAGTTCGATCGAAATTGGTATCCCAATCAGACTCCATTAGAGACTGGAGTCGAGAATTTCCATTTATTGCTGAAGAGTCGTAATAAGGATGACTTTCTCCTTAGTGGGCAAAATCAAAGGCAGAGTGTTGAAAATATTTTGAGTGTTGAAAAATATAATTTATCTCTGCTATTTTCTTTCGACGTTATTCAATAATCATTGGTTATCTATGAACCTCTACTAAAGATACCCATAAAATATTTTGCTGAATATTCGAATATCTTCTATATCCTGGGATATAGACGGACATTTGGATATCCATATTAGATCAACTGGATATATTGGATATCCACAAAATATATTCTGTAGATATCTCTGGGATTTCTTGTATTGTCTGGAAGATACCCATTAGATATTTTGCTGGATATCCATAGAAATCTTCTATATTCTGGATATAGACGGACATTTGGATATCCATATTAGATTCACGGGATATTTCTGATATCCTGTGGATATAATGGATATCCATAAAAGATATTCTGTGGATATCTCTGGGATTTGGTGTGTTGTCTGGGTATTCTTGTTGGAAATATATTTTCTATCTGTTCCTTGACACTCTCGATTTCCTTTTTTATTAGTGGTGTACTCTCTTTGTCGAACAACAGTTTAATCGGTTGACAAAACCTGGTTGATGATGGGCGTGGATTTTGCCATACGATGTTGCTATCCACATTTAGATGGATGGGAACTAGACAGATGGCATACATATATTCGTCTGTTTTTCTTTCTTCGCGATTTGTAAATTCCTGTCTATATGTGGCGTGGTCGGCACTTCCATCGCAGCCCCATTTATAGATCAATGTGTCGTTTTCCGAAGTATCTCTGAATATTTGTAAAATCACATCTTTTTGAACTTCGACGATTCTTCGAACAGTGTGGTCGACGAGACTTTGCAATTTAACTTCGGCAAAAATATCTGTTACAGATATAAAAGCTTCTTTTTAGCTTCTCGTAACATATCGTACGTAGGATATATGTTTGCGTGTTGACTTTTTGCACCTGACTGCATGAGTATATAAGAGTTTTTAGTAAACCGTCCATCAACATAAAGAGCCAAAGCTTCGTTTAGTGTATAGGCCACTGCAGTTTTTACAGGACAAGACAGTTTTCTTAATCTTAGCTGCCCTGGTTGGTGAAGCTGATAAATCTCGTAGAATTCGTGCAGCATTTCGTCTACCAGACTTATACAGGCTGACACGAGTAGCGAGAAATAATTCTTCCTCAGTATTTTGCTGTACGAGTGGCGACACTATAGAAAGCTTTGAATGTTCATTCGAATCTACAAAGCTCTTTTTAGGTCGCCTAACTCCTGATGGACCAGCAACTGCTTCTGCTGGTAGAGCTGCCTCTTTTTGTATTTGAAGCTTGACGATAGCGTCGAGCCATTCCTTATGACGACTTTCAAACACGTCTCTGTTGCGATACCATGTCAGGTTTTTCAGAAAAACTGAACAAAAATATTTTAGTGAGTACTTACCACAAAGTTGCATATTCGCCAAAGAAAACTTGCAGGTGCCACTCACACTTCGAGAGAGATTGTTTCAAATACACGGCAGAATCGCAACTAAATAGTATACAAGTACTGACAAGTTATACGTATCCGAATTTAACGAACTTTATCTTGGATAATAGTAAACTGGTCACATTATTTTGAATTTCAACAGGTGCGCTGGTTATCAGAGACTAAATAAATAATGAACATTTTGGAATATATAGTAATTGCATTTTCTAATTTTTGGACACTAATTGTGTGATATTGCCCACTGTGCGGCGGTTACATATTTTTATTCGGCAGTATTTTCACAAAATTTTTGCATTACATTTATTTTATTACATATCTTTTGTTGGAATAGGCTAGTATCCAGAGTTGTATTTTATTTAACATATGCATACAATGTATTTATTTTCTTAAAAATACAACTTTATCAGTTTTTTTTGCTATTTAGATACATATTATGTTATAATAATACATATACCTAATATTAGAGCCCTAGAAATATTTATTATAAAAATCTCGACAGAGAGGATCCAAATTGCAAAATTTTATAAGATAACCTTCCCTTACATTATTGATAGAACACAATATTAAAATATTGGAAAATCTTTACGGTTCCTATTACTGCAATTATTAAAAAGGCATACTGGATTTGCGTACAAGTATGCTTCAACCAGTTTTTATAGTGCGTTTTGTTGTGGTTATCCCATTGAAAAAATATTCATTATTCATCTACAATACTTTTAAATTATATAGTGCAGAAAAGCTAGCCAAAAGAAAAACCTTGACCCACAAACTCTAGAAAACAAACCCTTTTTTTGTATTTTTTACATTTTTTTTATTCTAAGTTGCAAAGGTAAAAGCAAACCATTATTAATAATTAAAAGCATTTAAATGGTAGTGTACTCTAAATAATAATTTAATAAAAATAAGAGATCTTTGGTTGAATCGGTTATAAACACGTTTTTATTAAGCTCTTCATATGTTTCGGAGAGTACAATCTTTCATTTTGTGGTGCAGTCAATATTTGATCCTCGTTCAAAAAATATTTTATTTTTCATAAAAGGAATTTATAACTTCTATACCCGTTTTTTAGCAAACCTTTGTTTTAGTAAAATGTTTATGAATTGTTAAATTTTGAGGAGGGAGACATGTTCCTCTCCGTGGAGCCAATTTTAGTAAGTTGAAGTTTTCGGTATATTTAAGAGCAGTAAACTAAAATTTTCTTTTTGTATTTTTTTGTATAAAGAGATGTGGTCTGTTCAAACAACGATCACAAACCAGTCACTGACACCAGGATTCTGCGCAGTAGATAAGTTATGGGACATAATTACTGCGCGGAATCCTGGGGCTCGATTCTCGAGTTCATTGGAAAATTTTCCCATGGGAAAAGATTCCACTGCTTATATTCCCATGGTAATAGGTTATGCAATTCTCGAACTTGTCGGAATTAACATTCCCATGGAAATAATAGTTTCACGTATGTCTGATATTAAGTTCACGAATATTTCGAAATAACCAATAACATTCAAGATATTTTAAAATTTACTGTTGGTATTATTTGTATTTGTTGTGGTTTTTGGGTAACCGATTGCCTGCCGAGCCTCTGCGCTGGAGCAGATGCCGTGCCGAGCAATCGCTAGCTTGACGACCGAGGACAAGTGAAAATATTCGATTATGTATAATTAAAACTTATTGAGTTATTTTTAGTTTTTCTTTTCATATATTGAAAAAAGAGAAAGTAGCTTTTGTATAGAAGAGCAACGAAAGTTTCGAGAAACTATATATATAAGAAATTCTTTCGTTAACGGAAATAATAAAATTTTCGAAAAGGTCTTATTAAATTTACTACAAATTTCTCAATTTGTGTTACCTATTTGCCAGTCCCTTAGCAGCTCCCACAATTTCTAACTAATTTAAGAAAATCAGTTTCTTAGTGAAAGAGAGGTAAAAATAATATACCCACATAAATAAAATAATATCAATTTATAAATACACAAAAAACATGTTTTAACTACAATTTCCCCAAATTCCAAGATATCCAATAATCTTTGGTTATGTCTTAGTCCTTCGCGTGGTCTTTCGTCAAATTTTCGACTTTAATGCGCAAACTCTAGTACAATTCCCATTGGAAAACACAATTTCCAATGCTCGCAAGCAGGGGAATATTTTCCCATACTTCTCATTGGAAAATATTCCACCCCTTATGCCGAGAATACGAAAACTGAATTCCCATGGGAAAATTTTATTTTCCCATGGGAATAAAAGTCGAGAATCGACCCCCAGGTGTCAGTGACTAGTTTCTGATCGTTGTTGGCCCAAGTAACACAAAAAGTTATATTAGGGTTATGACGTTGCAACAACGTTTCTTAAAACTCAACAACTTACATATTCTAATACACTTTACCGTTATTATATATTATTATGCGACTTTTGGTGGATATATACAATCTAAAAGTAACGTTTTACAGTAGTTGCTATAACTCCAGTTCATGGGCGAAGCCAAAAACCAAATTAGCCCCCCCCCCCCCCCAAAATAATTCGAACATTTATCGCACATCCACTGAAACATTTCAGAACAGAAATTAAAAAATAAAAAGAATCGTGTCATTTGATTGATTCTGCAATTTTACATTTAGTTTAGGTGACAGTGAATTTTTTTCGTATTCATTTTTGCAGTCGGTGTATATGAAAAATAAACTGTTCTCTTAGTGACAAAAACAAAATTTTTGAGTCTGACACTTATTTTCCCAGTCATAATTATTTTACATTTACTAAATTAGAACATAAAGCTTATAAAAATAGCAGTTTGGATTATCTCAGATAGTGGAAAGTGAGTGTGGCAGAAAATTGAGCATATAAATTGATACAATCATGAACTGTTTATAATAATAAGTGTGGCTGATTTACGAAATTGGCTAATGAGTCTGGTAATATCTTCTAAATGAAAAAAATATAATATTTTTGCTTTTATTTTCCCGGGTTTGAAAATTTGTCACGTGATAGATTAAATTATAATTTTACACCTCCATTTTATAACCAATCAACTGCTGTTATTTTAAAACATTTCCATGACAACCAGAAACATTTTCGGAAATTTTTCTTTTGGTGGGTACCCTGAACGAAATTATACTGAACATTTTTTTGACAGTTGAACCAGCTCTTTCAGGCATATAAAAAATTTGCCATTTCAGTGGTTAATATTTTATTTAATACCAATTATAACTAGGTAGAAATACACTACATTTATTTTATGTAAAATAATAATTAGGTTTTTCGCGTCAACTAAACGACTTCAAATATGACAAATGGTCATGGTATGGCCACAGCATATAAAACATATGTTTTTCTACACCCGTATTATAATAATGCACTTATATGCCCATAATCCGTTTCATAATGATACCCATTATGATACAGATTTTTCATTATGATACAGATTTTTAATCAATAGAAACCTACAATTTTTCAATCAAGCATGCTGTTTGACGTTTGTCCTAGGTTCCTATGTAATTATTTTAGTTGTCAAAACGTATTAAATTTTCGTAGGTAGCTAAACTTCGATAATTATAATATTAAAATGTCTGATATTAGCGATATAGAAGACTCCTCCACACATATCGGAGAAAGCAGAAAATACAGTACAAAATATTTTACCGCAAAAATCTAGGGAAATACCAATACCTGAAGTAATACCATTAATTACAATTTTGTAGAATTTTTTATAGAAATACGAGTAATTACTGTTATTGTGTTCAATACCAATATAAATATAATATTTATAGGTCTTGATTATTTATCGGGTGTAGAAAAAATAGCGTATGCAACTCTCATGTAATGGTTATTACATGATCGTTGCATAATATACTATTTTTATTCCGTGGTATGGCTACCTTTGAAAATTTGATTTTAGTCGTTTTAATGCATGTCTGTCAAGTTTTGAAATTTGGATATTTTGGTGTAAAACTTTCTTACCCAATACCAAACGTGCCTAAATTATTATCAGTAAATTTTTGCACACTCACGCATATTTTAAGAAAATTATCTATCTACTTAGGATAAATTTCAAAATATTCGTAAGTGAAAATACACGTCTGGCTGACAATTACAATTACGGAGGCCTGCCAGACTCACAAGTAGTGTCCGACCGAAGGTGCGGTTACGGTTTCGGCCAATTTTGGCTTTAAATAATAGTTTCGACTACAGTTTCGGTTTCGGCGGAAAAGTGGCCGAAACTGCAGCCGACAGCAAAACTACTTTTAAAAGTTTTCGTATCACAATTGGTTGTGTCCGGCACAATGGCGACTGTGCCGGGTGCCATTCCTACACAGTGCACGTACACACAAACTTCTTTGCTTTGTTTCAAGTGAACATGTCAATAAATTTATTAATGGCTTCTTTTGATCACATAAATAAATAATAAGTAATTGTAGCTAAAATTTATAATACGAGTTAATTAGTCTAAAACAAGGATTACAATTAGATATTGCAAATTTCAATAAAAGATTGCCTTAATAGAAAGTTCTTGTTTCTGTTTCGGCCGAAACTAAGAAAGGAGCCGAAATTTGGTTTCTGTTTCGGTTACAAAACCGTATTTCGGTCGGACCTGACAAGCCAGGTAGTTAAACGAGGTGAAGAATAGTAATCGAACGTGCCGAATTTAGCGCGCCTGACGGTCATTAGACGAGTCTGGCAAGGCTTTCGGGGTGTTCCACATTAGCTAGATTGTATTTTAAGCTGTTATCATAATATACATTTTTCTAGTAGTGAGAACACTTGTAACAGGGATCCTTACTGGACATTGCCAACTAAAATGACACCTTAGTAAACTGAGAGTAGTAGAAGATAGTGCAGATTTTGTGAGGAGGAGGAAAAAATCTTCATTCACATTCTAACTAAATGTGTAGCACTTCAGAATCCAAGGGCACTATACCTAGGAGCATATCAAATAGAAGACGGAGATTTACCTAACTTGAAGCCACTCCAAATCCTACA